TGAGAATATTATGAAAAGGTGCAATATTCTAGGCTCAAAGTGTCCCACTCTAATCAGCTAATTAAGCCATAACACCTGCAAAGGGTTCCTGAGCCTTTAAATGGTCTCTCAGTCTGGTTCAGTAGGAATCACAATCATGGAAAAGACTGCTGACCTGACAGTTGTGCAGAAAACCATCATTGACACCCTCCATAAGGAGGGAAAGCCTCAAAAGGTAATTGCAAAAGAAGTTGGATGTTCCCAAAGTGCTGTATCAAAGCACATTAATAGAAAGTTATGTGGAAGGGAAAAGTGTGGAAGAAAAAGGTGCACAAGCAGCAGGGATGACCGCAGCCTGGAGAGGATTGTCAGGAAAAGGCCATTCAAAAGTGCTGGGGACTTTCACAAGGAGTGGACTGAGGCTGGAGTCAGTGCATCAAGAGCCACCACACATAGACGGATCCTGGACATGGGCTACAAATGTCGTATTCCTCTTGTCAAGCCGCTCCTGAACAACAAACAGCGTCAGAAGCGTCTTAACTGGGCTAAAGAAAAACAGACCTGGTCTGTTGCTCAGTGGTCCAAAGTCCTCTTTTCTGATGAGAGCAACTTTTGCATCTCATTTGGAAACCAAGGACCCAGAGTATGGAGGAAGAATGGAGAGGCACACACTGCAAGATGCTTGAAGTCCAGTGTGAAGTTTCCACAGTCTGTGTTGATTTGGGAGCCATGTCATCTGCTGGGGTTGGTCCACTGTGCTTCATTAAGTCCAGGGTCAACGCGCAGCCGTCTAGCAGGAGATTTTGGAGCACTTCATGCTTCCTTCCACAGACGAGCTTTATGGGGATGCTGACTTCATTTTTCCAGCAGAAATTGGCACCTGCCCACACTGCCAAAAGCACCAAAACCTGGTTCAATGACCGTGGGATTACTGTGCTTGATTGGTCAGCAAACTCACCTGACCTGAACCCCATAGAGAATCTATGGGGCATCGCCAAGAGAAAGATGAGAGACATGAGACCGAACAATGCAGAAGAGCTGAAGGCCGCTATTGAAGCATCCTGGTCTTCCATAACACCTCAGCAGTGCCACAGGCTGATAGCTTCCATGCCACGCTGCATTGAGGCAGTAATTGCTGCAAAAGGGGCCCAAACTAAGTACTGAGTACATATGCATGCTTATACTTTTTAGAGGTCCGATATCGTTCTATGTACAATCCTTGTTTTATTGATTGCATGTAATATTCTAATTTTCTGAGATTGTGGATTTGGGGTTTTCATGAGCTGTAAGCCATAATCATCACAATTATGACAAATCACGGCTTGAACTATCTTTCTTTGCATGTAATGAGTCTATCTCTTATATTAGTTTCACCTTTTAAGTTGCATTACTGAAATAAATGAACTTTTGCACGATATTCTAATTTTTCGAGTTTCACCTGTATATACACACACATATGATTTTGCATTTCCGGGTAAGAGGCACACACGAGCCACACGCACGCCCTACCCGCGTCGGTATTCGCGGCCTCAGATGTCAATCACCGGGTCCCGGCCGGTGATTACCCGCCGGCACCCGGGGATTGCTGAGTAATACCGACGTGGGGAGACAACTGTATGTAAACAATACAGATCTCTCTCCTGTCAGCTCCTGCACACTGCTTTGTTTGGCTCTGCACAGCAAAGCCATACAAAACAGTGTGCTCATAGTTGAAAGCACTAACACAGCTTACAGTAAAACAGCACAGAGTTAACACTTTGATCACCCCACATATTAACCCCTTCCTGCCCAGTGTCATTAGTACAGTGTCAGTGCTTTTTATTAGCACTGATCACTGTATTGGTGTCACTGGGGATGTCAGTGACACCAAAGCAGTTCCCCCCCAGTGTCAGAATGCCTGCTACAGTCCCGCTATAAGTCGCTGATCACCGCCATTACTAGTAAATAAAAAATTAATAATAATTCCAGTATCTATACCTCCTTTTGTAAACGCTGTAACTTTCACTTAAACAAATTAATTTACACGTATTGAGATTTTTTTTTCAGCAAAGACATGTGGCAGAATATATTTTGTCCTAAATTTATGACAAAATGTTTTCTTTTAACCACTTGCCTACCAGGCACTTATACCCTCTTCCTTACCAGGCCAATTTTCAGCTTTCAGCGCTGCCGCACTTTGATTGACAATTGCGCGGGGAATGCAACATTGTACCCATATGAAATTTTGATCATTTTTTTCTCACAAATAGAGCTTTCTTTTGGTGGTATTTAATCGCCGCTGGGCGCTTTACTTTTTGCGCTATAAATTAAAAAAAGTGCAAAAAATTTGAAAAAAAAAAAAAGTTTATTTGTTTCTTTTATAAAATTTTTCAAACAGGTATTTTTTCTCCTTCACTGATTTGCGTTGATGAGGCGGCACTGATGGGCACTGATAGGCGGCACTGATGGGCACTGATAGGCAGCACTAAAGGGCACTGATAGGCAGTACTAATGAGGTGGCACGGATAGGCGGCACTGATAGACAGCACTAATTAGGGGTCACGGATAGGCGGCACTGATATGCAGCACTGATAGGCGGCACTGATAGGTGACACTGATGATGGGTACTGATAGACGGCACTGACTGGCATCACTTCTGGGCACTGACTGGCGGAACTGACTGGCACAACCCTTGGGCACTGACTGGTGGCACTGACTGGCAGCACTGCTGGGCTGCACTCGTGGGTGGCACTGGTGGGCAGCACTGGTGGGTGGGCACAGGTGGGTGGCACTGGTGGGCACAGGTGGGTGGCACTGGTGGGCACAGGTGGGTGGGCACAGGTGGGTGGCACTGCTGGGCACATGTAGGTGGCACTTCTGGGCACAGGTAGGTGGCACTGCAGAGTGGCACAGGTGGGTGCACTGCTGGGCACAGGTGGGGGCACTGCTGGGAACGGGTGGGCGGGGCTAGTGGGCGCACTGCTGGGCGGAACTTGCGGGTGTCACTGCTGGGCACCGATCATCAGGGCACTGATCATCAGTGCCCTGATGATCGGTGCCGATCCCCGCTCTGACAACTGCCGGTTCTCGGCAGTACTTTCCTCACGATCTGACAGCGTGAGGAAAGTGCAGCCGAGAACCGGCACTTGCATTTCCCTGTGATCAGCGTGTCATTGGACACCGCTGATCACGTGGTAAAAGGCCGGTGGAATCGGCCTTTCATCACATCACGTGATCAGCTGTGTCCGTAGGACACAGCAATCACGGAGATCGCCGGGTGCGCGCCCCCTGGGGCGCGCAGGAGAGCGCGTTCTGGGAGGACGTCATATGACGTCCACTCAGAACTGGCCGGCTGCGGTGAAGCCGTCATTCGGCTATGCGCGGTCGGCAAGAGGTTAATAAAAAAAAATAAAACCGCACAGGCAATCAAATACCAAAGAAAGCTCTATTCGTGGGAGAAAAGGAAGTACATTTAATTTGGGTACAGCATTGCATGACCGCGCAATTGTCAAAGTAACGCAGCCCCATAACTCAAAAAATGGCCTGGTCGGAAAGGGGGGGGGGGAATCCTTTGGAATAGCTTTGGATTATCTTTTTCTTTTTAATTTCATCATGCTTGGAATGGAACGGAGGGTTTCCTCCAGGCCTTGGCTATGGTCTGCTTAATAGTAGTGGTGCACTGAAATGAAAATTCTTGGACCAAAACCAAAAATTCATGATGCATTTGGCTGAAAACTGAAATGACATTTTTATTTTCTTTATCTATAACTGTACTATATTCCATTTTTTAAATTATTGTCATGAATTTAAATGAATATGAATTTATTTTCAGCACCTTTTCGGCCAATAGGCTGGTTTCACACTGAATAGTTTTTGCAGTGATTTTGCGTAAAAAGAAAAAAGCACAAGAAGAGTTCAAGAAAAATGCATCGCTTTAAATTCAATTTATGTCTTCACATTGGTCTGTTGTGCTTCCCTTGCGGTGTTAAAAATCCTGCTTGCCGCATTTTGGGAGCATATTTGCACAAATGCACCTCCCCATTGAGGCCTGATTCACACCAATGCGTTTTTTTTTTAGGACTTTTTGCAGACTGTTATAAATGCAAAATGTTGCATTTTTAGTTCAATAGACTTCAATGGAGATGCTGCAGAAAACGTATTGTAGTATGTTTTTGATGCGTTTTCATGCGGTTGACGGGTTTTTGATGCATTTTTAATCTGCTGGCCCCCCGAAAAAAAATTGCCAAAATGCAAAACGCTTTAAAAAAAAACACATCAAAAATGCGTGTGCAAAAATGCAAAACGCACTACAAACAGGACAAAATGCAAACTGCTTTGGTGTGAACCAGGCCTGAAATGCATTGGAAAAGCATTAAAATCGCACGTGTTGCATTTTTTTATCTGTCCAGCAATAATTTGTCCAAAAAATAATTCAAAGAATGCAAAATGCATCAAAAAAGTCAAAAACATGGGTGTAAAAATGCAAAACGCTGAAAAAAGGATAAATGTGCAATTTGTATGGCTTTTCGATAACCAAGTGGGAAACTCCTGCATGCTATTTGCTATGCAAGCTGCCTGAGCTCTGTATTATATCTTATTTATTATTATATCTTTTTTCTAAAATAGAGATTTTATGCAAGTAATAAGAAGACGATAGACAGGTAAGACTAGAAGTCTCAATGCTGATGAAAGTAAATCACGTGAGATATATCACGTGACTGTCTCTGCCCAGACGTGGCTTTGTTGTAGCCGATGTGATATATATATATATATATATATATATATATAATTACACATCGGCTGCAACTAAGCCACGCCTAGGGCAGAGACAGGCAAGAGACAGTCACGTGGGCTCCTGTGAACCAATCAATCCGCAGCTCTCTGGAAGCATGCCGGGAAGTGTAGTTTTCAAGGTGTCTCCTCCTGTTCCGGCCAGGGAATATGACGTGTAGTGTTCTGTAAGGCCGCCACGTCTGTCAGAAGCGGTGTTTCCGGTGTGCTGCTTCCGACATCTGTGTACCTGGCTCCGGTCCTCTGCAGTCATGTCGGTGTCTGTTCTGTCCGTAGTGTCCCGCTTCTTGGAGGAATATGTCAGCTCCACCCCGCAGAGGCTCAAGCTGCTGGACGCCTACTTGCTGTACATCCTGCTGACCGGAGCCATGCAGTTCCTGTACCGCCTGCTGGTGGGCACCTTTCCCTTTAACTCCTTCCTGTCCGGCTTCACCGCCTGTGTGGGCTCCTTCATCCTTGCCGGTAAGACGGAATTCTCACACTGGATAGTACTGACAGGCCTGTTATTAGGGGATGAGCCTGACCGCTCCCAGCAGAAGATATCCATTCTGTATAGCTGGCTACCTTCACAGAGTACTGGTTGTCTGGCCTTCCCATCATGTGACCAATGAAGACATAACCCCTGTACATGTATAATTTTCAAACTCCTTAAACCATGAATTATGTTGACATACCCATCAGCAATGGATGCACACATTTCCCTGTGCGTAGATGTGCGGTGCAGATTGAAGCTCAGGTTTCACAGCTGATTGATACAGTAGTTGTTCAGGGCAGGCTTAGGTCAGGATTTTATCCTGCTCACAACTGATGTGCAATTCAGAAGCAGCTCCCATGGAAGTCAACAGCCTGTAATCCGTACCTGAACCAGACCGCGCTGCTTAGAAATCGGACAGCACTCTTTTTCAAATCGCACTGAATCTGCACCGCCAGTGCACTGGATATATGTGAACAGGCACCGTAGGAAAGTCATGCGCGTTGGATGCAATTCAAACTGCATCCAATTCTCATATATGTGAACCAGCATGTGGATTGGATTTGAACTGCATCCAATCCACAAGACATTTAAAATAACATTGCTTCCTATGGTGGCTGTTCACATATGTCCGGTGCACTGGCAGTGCAGATTGCAAAAGAGTCATGTCCAATTTCTGAGCAGTACGGTGTGGATTACAGGCTATTGACTTCTTTAGGAACTGCTTCGGAATTGCACATCAGTTGGGAACAGGATAAAATCCTGTCCTGAACCTGATGTAAACATATCTTGTACTGCTGAACAACTACTGTATCAATTAGCTGTGAACCCTGAGCTTCAGTTTACACTGCACATGTGTGACCCATGCTTAGGTTAGGTTGCCCTTATACACTCTCGGAGCACCCTTGGCCACAGTCTTATACTGAACCATTTCCCTTCAGAGCTGCATGTGCGGATTGGAGCTCAGGTTTAACAGCTAATTGGCACAGTAGTGGTCCAGGACAGGTTTAGGTCAGGATTTTATCCTGTTCACACGTGCGGTTTAGAAACGGTTCCCATAGAAGTCAATTGCCTTTAATCTGCACCTGAACTGGACCACACTGCTCAGAAATTATACAAGACTCTTTTTCAATACGCACTGCCAGTGCACCAGACATATGTGAACAGGCACTATAGGATGCAATCTTATTTCACATGTCATGTTGATTGTATGCGGTTCAAACCGCATCCAATCCTCATATATGTGAACTGGCATTCAAAGCTTTTCCCATAAGATTATTTAGTCTATGAATGTCTGCAGAGATTGAAGACATAGTGTTAACCAGTGAGGTCTCATTTACATGGAGGTACCACAGCACACACCCCTGCAAGGGCCCTGTTTACCCAATATGGGTGTACAGGTGTCCCATGAATCCCCAGGCAGGCAGTCCCATTCATGTCTACTAGCACACAGTGGCTGCATGGATACAGCTGCTGCTTCCAGTTTGACAGCCATGCAGGCGCGTGTCCCTGATTGCTAACGGTGAGTTTGGGGACACAGAAGCCTTTACTGCGCCAATGCCACAAAAAAGCCCGGTGGCAAAATGGCTGACAACACCTTGACAGACCTCACCAGGCTTTTTTGTGGCAACTCGGCCATGCAGATAATTTTTGTTCAAGTATTGTCATATTGTGCTCCTTGAAACAACCAAAGCGTCTTTTTTTTTTTTTTTTTTTTTTTTTTTTTACCCTGAGTAGCCTGTATTTCTCCTGAGGTTACCTGCAGGTTTTTCTTTGTATGCCGAACAATTTTTCTGGCAGCAATCCTTCTTGGTCTTTTAAATATAAATGCAGCGCTTAAAATGACAATAATCTAGTACTAATGTGATTAGTGATAATGTGTAAAGTGATTAGAATGCAAATGGTAAACTGTCATAAAATGACTCATGTTCCTGATAAAAGCAACAATAGTAAAGTGACTGAAGTGTGTTATAAATACACAGGGTAAAAAAGTCCAAATTTCAAGGTGCTCCGTGCTGGTGCTCTCTGTGATGTAGACCATTAATGTGAATGCACTCACCAGAAGCGCAAAAGATATGCGCATATACATATATCCCAGTATAGTCATCGGGGTGGAATCATCTGGCACACCGTAAGCACACAAGTAACTCCAGTCTCACTCACAGGACACCCTCAGCTTCCAGGGACAACTCTAGGTAAGCATCAGACCACCGGATCAATTTCCACATAAAAATAGGGATTTCTCCAACTTGGGGGCTGGCATACACCAAGCCAGAGACAAATGAAGTACTAATAGTGTAGTATCTTATTTATTGGAAAGGATCAGTATTTTTTAAAAAAATCAGCACTTGCGTGAATAAAAGATTAAAATGGCCGCCGGCCTTCTATGTGGCTGTCTGCGGCATGACGTCACCATGGAGGACCCTGCCATCCATGTGGCTAACAAGCACGTTGACTATTTATACACATACACTAATTACAATTTAAAAAGCCACAGATGTGGGAAATTACCCTTCAATTGCCATTTTAACTTGTGTGTGTCACCTTGTGTGTGTCTGTACCAAGGCCATACATTCCAGGGTATGTACTTTTGATCCGGGCCATTTGGGTGATTTCTGTTATTGTGATTTAAAAAAGAGCCAAACAGCTATGTGATAATAAATGGCTTCATATGATCACTATCCTAAATAAAAGAGAGTTTTTGGCATGATATTTTCAATATCCATGCCAAAATTTCATGATTTGTGCAAGGGTATGCGAACTTTTGAGCACAACTGTATTTTTGCTCAGTATAAACCAACTGAACTGGCTGTTTATCTGTTGCTGGTTTCAACCGGTCCTGACACATGGGGGTTTATTTACTAAAGTTGGAGAGTGCAAAATCAGGGTCACTTCTGCATAAAAACCAATCAGCTTCTAACCTCAGCTTGTTCTGTTAAGCTTTGGAAATAAAACCTGGAAGCTGATTGGTTTCTATGCAGAAGTGACCCTGATTTTGCACTCTCCAGCTTTAGTAAATAAACCCCACAATGTCACATCTGGGTTTGTTGTCAGTTTCCAAACACAAAGATTAAATGCATAAAAGGGAGCTGTTTTACCTGCTAAAGGGTTTGTATTTCTATCTAATCCTGAGAGTTGCACAGCTCTTGCAGAAAACACCTCCAGGTGGATTACACCACTTTCGCTGCTATCTTTAAGAAATGCAGTGGTGTCATCTCCCTGCCATCAGCCTGCAGACTGGACAGTGAAAGAGCAGTGACAGACTGAGGTTAGTCTTAGTGCTCCAGTACAGGTGATTACAAGATGCGGATATCAGTAAAAAGGTATTTGTATTTAAAAGTAAATAAATAAAATTATATACACTATATTGCTGAAAGTATTGGGACGCCTGCCTTTAATGACATCCCAGTCTTAGTCCATAGGGTTCAATATTGAGTTGGCCCACCCTTTGCAGCTATAACAGCTTCAACTCTTCTGGGAAGGCTGTCCACGAGGTTTAGGAGTGTGTCTATGGGAATGTTTGACCATTCTTCCAGAAGCGCATGTGTGAGGTCAGGCACTGATGTCGGATGAGAAGGCTCGGCTTGCAGTCTCCACTCTAATTCATCCCAAAGGTGTTTTGTCGGGTTGAGGTCAGGACTCTGTGCAGGCCAGTCAAGTTCCTCCACCCCAAACTTGCTCATCCATGTCTTTATGGACCTTGCTTTGTGCACTGGTGCCCAGTCATGTTGGAACAGGAAGGGGCCATCCTCAAACTGTTCCCACAAAGTTTTGAGCATGAAATAGTCCAAAATGTCTTGGTTGCTGACACCTGACAGTGGAGTTTCACTCACGCTGTTAAGAAATAAGTCAGCAGATGCAAAAACTGTAGCTGCTGACTATTAAAAAAAAACACACACACTCGCCTGTCCCTCGGTCCAGCAGTGTGTCCCCTGCAGCCCGTTTTAATGGCCATCTTCTCTCCCTGGGTGCCGGCATCTTTATTGTGGGCACCCGGCTGTGACAGCTTGCGGCTTCACAGCCGGGTACCCACTGCGCATGTGCGAGTAGCACTGCACTTCCTGAATATTCTTGTAGTCTTCTGGGACCTGTCACGTGTCCCAAAAGACTACAGGAAGGGAGTACACCACCTACTTCCGATCACCTAGGCGATCAGAGCGGAAGTGGGAGCGGGTACCTGTCAAGGATTGGCACCTTGGTACCAGAATTTAACGGGGAGCGGGGGACCAGTCTTTAAAGCGGAACTTCCCCTTTTGGGTGGAGCTCCGCTTTAAGAGTTCCCTTTACTGGAGCTAAGGGGTCAAACCCAACCCCTGAAAAACAACCCCACACCATAATCTCCCCTCCACCAAACTTTACACTTGGCACAAAGCAGTCTGGCAAGTACTGTTCTCCTGGCAACTGCCGAACCCAGACATGTCCATCGGATTGCCAGACAGAGAAGCGTGATTGGTCACTCCAGAGCAGTGTTTAAAATTATGGACAGTGCCGAGGCACCCCATTCTAAAATGAAGTGCCCCTAGACTACCCATAATTTTAAAACTGAACCCCATTCTAAAATGGGAAAAACTATTCTAATAGTTTTATATATAACGCAGCAACATCCACACATGTAGGACACCCAACATTAGAGGTGATTTATTCTTCCAAAGCAAATACACTTTTGCACATTGGTACTGACTAGTTTGCCAATGTTTCTCTTCTCCCTCAGTTTTTCTCCATCACTGAGCTAATGTGACCCCAGCACTGATGTAAAGGGGCAGGGGAGGGTTAAACTAGGATGCTTTGCAGGCAGCTGACATCCTCCTTATGAAAAGATGATAGCATTGGTTGTCAGGACGCCGGCGGCTAGAAAGTCGTAATGGTGCACAATGAAAACTTGTGGCTTTGTGTAACTAAAAGGAAGGCTTGTTTCACCCGCTGGCTTGAATACAAGTTTTCGGCAATTTTTAGACATTTTGCCTGGGCACCTTGGTTGAGAAAGGGTTGCTCCAGAGAACATTTCTCCACTGCTCTAGAGGCCAGTGGCAGCGTGCTTTACACCACTGCATCCAACACTTTGCACTTGGTGATGTAAGGCTTGGATGCAGCTGCTCGGCCATGGCAACACATTCCATGTACACACTGTTGTGCTAATCTGAAGGCCTCATGAAGTTTGGAGGTCTTTAGCTATTTTCTTTGCAGACAGTTGGTGACTTCTGCACACTGTGCTCTTCAGCATGCGCTGACCCCGCTATGTCATTTTACGTGGCTGAGTTGGGCTTCGTTCACACTTGACTTTATTTCTAACTCCTGCCAAACACCCCTATAGCATTTGACAGGCGTTTTTAACGCTCTCCAAACGCCCTATGCGCGTTTTCGAGGTGTTTGTTAGGCGTTTGCAAAGTGTTAAAACCGCACCACAAACGCCTATAATGAAGTTTTAATGGTGTGCTGCCATGTGTAGAATTGTCATAGGCGTTTGAGAAGCGTTAAAAACTCTTCCCAAACGCCTTTCTGATGCCTGCTGACAAAGCTAGTGTGAACGAGCCCTGGCTGTTGTTCCCAGTTGCTTCCACTTTGTTATAACACCACTAACAGTTGACCGTGGAATATTTAGTAACAAGGAAATTTCATGGATGGATTTATTGCACAGGTGGCAACTTATCACAGTACCATGGTTGAATTCACTGAGCTCCTGAGAGCAACCCATTCTTTCACAAATGTTTGTAGAAGCAGTCTGCATGTCTAGGTGATTGATTTTATACACCTGTGCCATGTAGGTGATTGGAACACCTGAATCCAATGATTTGGAGGGATGGCCCAATACTTTTCTTAATATAGTGTATAGACACTGATCTGCAATCATGTGTCTTTTATATCTGTCTGTAGTTAACTAGTTGCCGACCGCAGATAGCCGAAGGACGGCTGCACTGCGGCCGGCCAGTTCTGAGTGGACGTCATATGACGTCCTCCCAGAACGCACTCTCGCCCCCGGCGATCTCCGTGATCGCTGTGTCCTACGGATACAGCTGATCACGTGATGTGGTAAAAGGCCAATCACAGCGGCCTTTTACCACGTGATCAGCGGTGTCCAATGACACGCTGATCAGAGGGAAATGCAAGTGCCGGTTCTCGGCTGCACTTTCCTCACGCTGTCAGATCGTGAGGAAAGTACTGACGAGAACCGGCAGTTGTCAGAGCGGGGATCGGCACCGATCATCAGGGCACTGATGATCAATGCCCTGATGATCGGTGCCCAGCAGTGCCACCCGCATGTTCCGCCCACCTGTGCCCAGCAGTGCGCCCACTAGCTCCGCCCACCTGTGCCCGGCAGATCACCCACCTGTGCCACTCTGCAGTGTCACCCACCTGTGCCCACCCACCTGTGCCCACCCACCTGTGCCCACCCACCTGTGCAGCCCAGCAGTGCCGCCAGTCAGTGCCACCAGTCAGTGCCCAGCATTGATGCCAGTCAGTGCCGTCTATCAGTACCCATCATCAGTGCCGTCTATCAGTGCTGCATATTAGTGCCGCCTATCCGTGACACCTCATTAGTGCTGTCTATCAGTGCCACCTATCCGTGCCACCTCATTAGTGCCGCCTATCAGTGCCCATCAGTGCCGCCTATCAGTGCCCATCAGTGCCGCCTATCAGTGCCCATCAGTGCTGCCTCATCAACGCACATCAGTGAAGGAGAAAAAATACCTGTTTGAAAAATTTTATAATAGAAACAAAGAAACTTTTTTTTTTTTTTTTTTTTTTAATTTTTTGCACTTTTTTTATTTATAGAGCAAAAAGTAAAGCGCCCAGTGGCGATTAAATACCACCAAAAGAAAGCTCTATTTGTGAGAAAAAAATGATCAAAATTTCATATGGGTACAGTGTTGCATGACCGCGCAATTGTCAATCAAAGTGCGGCAGCGCTGAAAGCTGAAAATTGGCCTGGTAAATAAGGGGGTATAAGTGCCCGGTAGGCAAGTGGTTAAAGAATAAGTTCACTTTTTCAGGCAGAATTTCACTTTTCATACTAAATAGAAGCGTTTTCCAATGCAATTTTTCTGGCCCAGCCATCCCAATTTGCTTTTCTCTCACTTCTCATCCACAAGATGTTTATTTTTTATTTTTTTTTTGTCAGTTTGTGTGATTTTTGAACTGATTTTCAGATTGCATAATTTTTCTGTCAATAGTCTCTCAGCATTCCCTTCCTGTAGGCCACTTCCCAGAAGCCTTCACTTCCTTTTTGCATCATAGAGGAGGGTGTGATAGGGTTTGTTCACCACTCTGGACCTCGCCTCCCTCATTACTATACTACCTTCCTCCCAACAGCTATGTAGTACAAGGGCCTGTCTGATTTGATACCAACTGAATGGATTGTTCAGGTGTGTCCTCCTATTCCATAGTTCTGGTAAATCTAAAGGAAATTGTACAATCAGACTGCTTAGTGTATGGCCATCTTTTTACAAATACATTGGAGGGAGTTAACAGAGACACTCAGTTGTCAGGCCCCGTTCACATCTCCACGTAGTGAATACTCATATCCCCACGTTGTTTTGGATATTTTGGAGCGTTCTCACTCGTCACGCATAGGGGAGGCCATTCACTTGAACTGGCTGCCATACATGCAACAGTCGCCCCAGAAAAGCACCAGAACTTTTTTGGCACGGTGCGTTACTGCAGATTTTGGTGTGTTTGCTGCACTTGGAGTTCCTTTTAACATGTAATGACAACACAAACCCGATGCATATTTGCAACGTTTCTGAAACGCATAGCAAAGCACACATTTTCTGTGTCGTTTGCCATGCATTCAGAAACTTACATGTGAATGGAGCCTCATTGTTCTGTGTAAACTCAACAATCAATGACACTGAAAGCACAACTAGTTAATTTTTGGTGTATAAAGCTGGCCATACAGTATACAATCTGCTTCTACAATCTCTGTATGATCTCCTTTAGCTTTACCAAAACTATGTAATAGGAGGACACACCATCTATTCAGTCAATCAGGCCCTTGCATCAGGGGTTTCCTGTGGGCTGTATTCAGCCCCAGGGAGTTTAGCATGCTGCCTGAGCTCCTCTGTAGAGGTGCCAGGTAAATGCACGTGGGGAGAGATCCCGGGGATGCTGTGAAAAAAAAAAGTTGATGGGCGAAGGGTGCGTACTAATGAGGTCAGGGCAGGATGTGTGTGTGCGCAAATGTGATCAGCAGGTAATCTACTTCCTGGTCATACTGGCTCCTCTGTCTACATTACAGGAAGTGAAAAAGTGATCTTAAGAAATGTATCAAGGTCTAAGTTAAAACCTTGTTCTCCAGATCAAATATTGATCTGGAGAACAAGGCCTCTTGAATATTTTTGCAATTGAGGTACATTAATGGTATATTGGTGCATAGAGGAGCTGGATTTTTGAAGGGAAAAAGAAAACCTTTGCCTTAAAGTTAATTTTATGATAGTCGCATATTCCAAAAAATAGACAAATTCAGTAATAAGTAATAAATGAAATAGATGTTGTCTGTGGTGTAGTTTTTTATTTTTTATTATTATTTCTTTTGTTTGTGTTACCAAAAGCACCTGTCCACACTACCTAATGCAGACTGTGAAGGTCGTGGCTCAGTCCCTAGATTCTTCCCTTTGTTCCAGTAAAGAAATTACTTCTCATCATCTCCCCACCATGCCAGCAGAATAGACCTACCGTTCTTCACTCCCTGACTGCTCTATTCAGTGGCCACGAGCAAAATGAAATGTCCAGCAGTTTTATGTATGGGTGAGCATCTGTCACGTTCCCCCTCTGTTAAAGTGCCTGGTGATTTACAAGCACTGTCACTTGAAGCAGATAAAAAGCCCATATCCATGTATAAGCACAAGAAAAGTCAGTTTGGACTGTAAACTGAGCTTGGTTTCCCCGGTGTTGGTGCCAAAGAAAGGTGATTATATACTGCTAGGGATGAGGGGAAGTTAATTGACTGTCTTGGTTGCCCTGTATGGGGTAAGGAAAAGGGCTCTATAATGGATGTTCTTTATACAACCAGATGGGCACTTTTGCATTCTACATTTCTCTTTATTGGGAACTGTAGTTTTTCTACCACAAGCAACTGAAAAGTTCATGATTTGTCATATATTTGCACATTTAGTGACTTGTGACAGAACACCCAATGGTATCAAAGAATAGTTGTTCTCATTAGGACCATAGGCTTAGCAGTCAGGTCAGTGGTGGGATAGTGCATCACTGTATGTAGAAGTTCTTGTCTGATATAACACTGATAACACGAGGTTGATTAATTATAACAGAGGAGGCATGGGTGAGCTTTATTTATGTTATCAAGTAAACCATACTATCTTTTTGTTTTTTTCAGTGTGCTTAAGGATCCAGATTAACCCCCAAAATAAAGGAGATTTCCTGGGAATCTCTCCAGAAAGAGCCTTTGCAGATTTTCTCTTCGCCAGCACAATTCTTCACTTGGTTGTCATAAACTTTGTTGGATGAAATTTGTGCCCCCCTTTTTGTCAGGTATGTATATTGTAATTTGTGAACTTAAAGTGATTCTAAAGGCTCAAGGTGTTTTTTTTTTTTTTGTTTTTTTTTTTTTTTTTTTTGCCTTCATGTATTCTATGCATGAAGGTAAAAAAACCTTCTGTGTTCAGTGGCCATCCCAATCTTTACCTGAGCCCCCTCCGATCCAATGACACTCGACAGCCTCAGCTGTCTTTGGACTCTTCCTGCTCATTGGCTAAGACAAAAGTGGGAGCCCATTGGCTCCTGCTGTTGTCAGTCAAAACCAGTGAGCTAATGAGGAGGGGGTGGGGCCAAACCCCTGTTTTCTGTGTCTTATGACCACATAGAGCAGCAGCTTGGGGACAAGCAGGGCAAGCAGCTTTCACTGGGGGCACTGCACGAGGGTGAGGAGCCAGAAGCACCAGCAGGGACCTGAAAAGAGTATCAAAATCACTGCACACAGCAGGTAAGTATAGACATGTTTGTTTGTTTTTTTTAAACTAAGCTTTAGTGTCACTTTAAAGAGCTTTTACTTCACTGTTTTTGTTCAGTGTTGTGTCCCCAGAGGTACAGAGTACAATTAGACAATTTTCCCATCTTCTTGCATGCTTTGTAAGCCTCCCCTCATGCCTGCCTGATAATGTAGCTATTAAAGAGATGGCTGCTTAACCATTAGCTGCCCGGCCTATAGCCGTTTGGCGGCATCTAAAGCGCTGCAGCTTTCCGGGTGCACGCCATTTGGCGTGCTCCCGCACATGCGCAGTTGCAGAGCCGCGCAGCGATGACAGATCTGAGTACCGGCTCCCGTTGCCGGTACCATGTGACCTGCTGTGACCAATCACAGCAGGTCACATGACAGTTGTATAAAATGGATGGCTTCATTCATGCCATCCATTGTATACTAGTGCCTAGCTGTGAATGGTCACAGCAGGTCACATGCACATGTCATGTGATTAGCTGTGGCCAAATCACAGCTAAGCACAAAAAAAAAAAAAAATTGAATGAATCGATGTCATTCAGGTAAATGCTTGCTTATAGCAAAGTAATTCTTTGCTATAAGCAAATTGTGTAAAAAAAAAAAAAAAAAAAATACTGATCACTTCCCCAAAGTAGTACAATGTTACTATGGTAACATTGTACTACTTTGGTCATAGTAAAATATGAAAAAAAAATCTTAAAAAAAATATAAGAAAAATTTAATAAAAAATAATAAAAAAAAAAAAAAAAATATATATATATTTTTTTTTTTCATACTGTCACCAGTCAGTGTCCCTGATCACTGCCATGCCAGTTATATGATGATGCTGTACTGCACTGGTGACAGTATGTAAAAAAAAAAATAGTGAAAATCATTTTTTAAATTTTTTTTCATTTTCCGAAAAATTATGACAAAAAAAATACAACTTCAAAAAACTCGCCATGCCTCTTATGAAGTACGTCGGACTGTCTACTCTGCAAAAAGGGGTCATTTGGGGATATCTGTACTATTCTGACATTCTTGGACCTCAAGAAATTAGATTGGCTGTCAGTACTTCAGGATTGATCAATTTTCAGATCTATACCATAGTTTGTGAACTCTATAACTTTCCTACAAACTAAATAATACATCCTAATTTGGGTTATTTTCACCAAAGACATGTAGCAGAATACATCTCGGCCTAAATTTATGAAGAACAATTATTTGTAAACTTTTATAACAGAAACAAAGAAAAACGTGTTTTTTTTAAAAAATTTTGGGTCCTTTTTTTGTTAATTTAGCAAAAAAAAAAAACCCCAGCGGTGATTAAATACCACCAAAAGAAAGCTCTAGTTGTGTGAAGAAAATGATAACATTTTAGTTTGGGTACAATGTTGTATGACCGCGCAATTGTCATTCAAAGTGTGAGAGCGCTGAAATGTGAAAAATGGCCTGGGCAGGAAGGGGTAAAATTGACCGGTATTGAATTGGTTAAAAAATGGTGCTTGTCTCACCTCTGAATGCTTGCCTGAGATCAGCAGTGGCAAGAGGATTACAGAGGAAGGGAAGGCTGCCCCATATCTGCATTTCTCTTGCCAATGCTGCTCTCAGGTAATGCAGGCCATAGACGGGTCGTTTCTCGGCCGATTTTTCATCCGAACAAAGAATTGGCCGATATTCACACCGTTAGTGGGACAATGACATCGGACAATTTTCGTGGTTCTCGTTTCTTTTTATCGGTAATGCTGGAAAATCTACGAAAAATGGCTGTTTTTCGTAAGCATTAGTGGCAGCAACGACCGATTTTTCGTTTATCGGCCGACAATTCGGCCGATAAACGTCCCGTTTATGGCCAGCATTAGTCCTTAAGTACAAGACATATGGTGCTATCAATGCAGCTATTTCCTTGATAGCGGTGTTATCAGACAGCTACGAGGAAGGGGTGGGGGCATACAAAGCAAATATGAAGATGCATAGAGCAATTTGTCCCTTGAGGACAGTACGCTGAAAAAAATGAAGTGCTCTTCTTTAATCTCATCTGCCAAATCAGTGTGGACTTTACCTGAGCACTAGGATTAGTTCTTCTGTTTATGTAGCCGTAAAATACCAGTGGTCATCAAAACGACGACTCAGGGTTTCTAGTAACTCTGATTTTAAGATTCACCCTTCTGGACAGTGGCCTTCATGTCAGAGTTCTGGCACTGGCCACGTACCACATAGACTTGTTCCTCCCCTCTTGGTAAAGTAAATGCTTGTGAAACTTCTCTGTTGTTGGGAGACATAACCTATTCCTCCAGCAGAATTATATATATATATATATATATATATATATATATATATATATATATATATATAAAGTGCAAGCATTTTGGCTAACAATAGTGTGTTTCCTTACCTTTCTGTTTTCCAAAGCAACTGGCATGAATATTTCCATCCTGAGGATCTGTCTTTGTCGTTTTAGTCTGTTGTGAATGTAACCTAAGAATTGTAATTCTATATTATGTCCAGGGTGAGGCAGTGTTCTTACATTATTGTTTAACTAGGATCTGCTAATACTTTGTGGAACCTGCAGAGGGTAGCATAGTATCTTTTTTTTTTTTTTTTTTTTTTTTTTTTTTTTTTTTTTTTTTTACATCTCTCTTTGATTGCAATACAGAAGTATATTATTTATTACAGGTACTTCTATAGCGCCGTCAATTTACGCAGCGCTTTACATATATATAGTACATTCACATCAGTCCCTAATACTTAAGGGGTGTACAACCAAAGGTTCCTAACTTACATTCATATATACACATACTAGGGCTAATTTACACTGGATCCAATTAACCTACCAGCATGTCTTTGGAGTGTGGGAGGAAATCCACGCAGGCACAGGGAAAACATGCAAACTCCAGGTAGGTGGAGGCACACACAGTATGGTTTGGCCCTGCCGCCTGCATGCTCCTCATAGGATATGATTGACAGCAGTGAGACAAAGAAGAGAAGAGCTGCTGCAGACAGGACAGCACTGGATAGAGAATGGATTTGGGTAAATGTTTAAGGGGGTGCTGAGGGAGCTGCTATTGAAAGGTACAGATGCAGAGAATGCATTAAGGTAAAAAAAAACCTTTTGCCTTTGGAACCACTTTAAGTATTTTCTATATAATATATTTCCTTCATTGTTTTGACTAACACTCTGTGTCTTTTCTTTTAGCTTCCTGGGAGTTTCATTTTGTGGTTGAAGAAGGTTTATGTGTCGCCTAATATCAAGAAGATTCATTATCGGTTTTCTGGGACTGTGACCATGCACTACAATTTCTGTTTAATTTGGGGGTGGACACTGAACCTTTGTATGGTCTGAGATTAGAGACTTGGTCAATAAAGATGTGACTTTCGTATATTACTGTGTTGTTTTTTTTATGAGGGTGCATTCCAGCATCTCTTACCTTTTTTGTAGCTTTAACCTTCCCATTTTATCATCTATTTTTTCTTTTTAATCTATTTGAATTAAACAAAATAAACACTAAATGAATGGGTATTATGGTGGCAGCATGGGATATCTGTGATGTTGAGCGCTACAGTAAACTTGTGGCTACACTTAACAGAAAATAACACTAGTACATAAGTACTGGTACTTGCTGTTTAACACCCCAGTCACACCGATCTGGCTTTCAAATCTTGCGACTTCCAGTGAAGTCGCATGATTTCAAAGTTGAATGGTATTCCAACTTGAGGTGCGACTTGCATCCATATGTCACCCAAACCGTCCTCTCCTCTCCTCGCACAACCTCCTGCTCTCTAGCTCCCTTGTCTCCTCCTCCCATGCTCATCGCCAGGACTTCTCCAGAGCGTCCCCCATCCTCTGTAAATCTCTACCCCAATCTATCCGACTATCGCCTACTCTGCCCACTTTTTGGCAATCTCTGAAAACCTCTCTCTTCAGGGAAGCGTATCCTGCCTTCAGCTGATAACCAAATCTTCTATTTCTCTTATCAATTTATTCCCCCACAGTTATTACATTCTGTACCACCAGCCCCTCCCTCTTAGATTGTAAGCTCCAAGTAGCTTAACATAGGGTCACAGGATTGTCAACACAGGGCTCTGGGCTGTAATTGGTCACAGCAGGTCCGTAGCCATGAATCATTGGCTGGGATCTGCTGACAAAATCCTGCTGTGTTTAATCACAGCGACATTCGGTGGGTGGGGGCAAGTGTCCTGTACCTGGAAAGGGCCAACAATGTACAGGTACATCACTGTGCCTATTCGAACCGGCTGTCCGCAGTACATTGTGGGCATGCAGTCCTGAAGTGGTTAAACAAAATGTAAAAATCACATTTCACAATTCAGTTTTTAGGGCCTGAGTGGCCTATTTCCCAATGGCATTGTCACTTAGTATGTGGTAAGGCCATGCATATGGCAATGTAAAATACTTGCACAATCGGTATGCAAAATATTTTAATACAATCTGTATTTTCACAGTAAAAGCATGGGGTTTCACAAGTGCTGTAAATACTGTCTGTCCTTTGATGCAAGGTGAATTATATACATGAGT